AGGGAAGTAAAAGTTGACACAAGGGATTGTCATGTCATGTATCCTTCCTGATTTCTGGAGAGACAACCTGGCACTGTCCTGTTAAACTGTCTTTATCCTTTTCCCTTGTAACTTTAAAGTTGTTGACTGTCATCCAGCAGATCAAGGTGCATAAAGTGTTCAGGCAACAGATACTTTGGAAATCCTATCAAAAATCTGGGTTGTAAATGCTAAAGTTGTTCAAGATGTTTCCTTCATTGATTGCGGAACTATTGTCCCCATTCATGACTCATAATTGACCAAAGTGGACACAGAAGAAGTGCTGACTCAACATACTTCACAAAACTAGAACAGAAGCAGAGATAGAAAAAGGATCTCTGTCTTCCTACATTTGGTATTGGCCTGTACAACACTGTTGTCCTCCTGAGTGAAATTGTTGGAGAGCTACTAGAAAAAGCAACACTTTCTAAAAAAGCAGTTGAAACACTTGCTTTTGCTTCATTGCTATCAAACATTGAGTAGAAGATACCTGTTGAAACGTGACAGTTACTGACATTTTACAATTGGAGAATAAATGCAATGAGTAAATGCAAAGAAACACACTGGATTCAGAATACATCCTAGGTTGCTTCATCTGATTCTAAGGCAGATTAAATTCAGACTGGACAGTTTAGCTAATCCATGTGATTTAGCCATAGGAATTTAGCTCTCCTGCTACAGAGATCCTTTTTGACTGCACTTTCTCTGTTCTCAAATACCAATTCGTATAATTTGTTACAAGGTACTCTTTGAATTGGCATTATTAATTCATTCAGCCTCAAAGGCATTGGGTGTCTCTGCCAAGAATAACTCCCTGGAGGATGACTGTTGTGTAGTAACATTATGTTTTTCAACCTAAGATTCTTTTACTTGCGTTGTAGACTGTGTATTCACGGATTTGACAGAGTTGGAAGGGACTTCTAGAGACCATCCAGTCCAACTCCCAGCAGCAGGGTTGCCCAGAGCACATCACTCAGGAGCATCCAGGCGGGGCTTGAAGATCTCCAGAGAAGGGGACTCCACGACCTTTCTATGTATATAGGGAACATTTCGCTATTGCTTATATACTCTTGGGTACCACTTATGTTTACAGCCTATCCCCTGTGGAGATGGGCCTGTGGTGCTAGCTGAAAACCCCCGTCTCACTTGGTCCAACACCCCATGTCTTGCAGCGATGAAGGCGGCACAAGCCCCGAATAACTGTACAGCTGCTGGCCCGAGCTGTGCTTTCCATGAGTGTGCCTGCCTCCCCTTTCTCCTGTGACTCACACCCTGAGGACTACAGCCGCAATTAATGTCAGGATACAAAAGATTCCCAGCAAATCTGGCACAAGAGTGAGCTCTCACCGGGGCTGGGTGTGTAATGTTTCGTGTGCTTTTTGCACGGGCTGCTGAAAAACGTTCTTCCCAGGGGCTGGGGGCAGCCCCTTCATCCTCGTCATCCTCATCATCACACGCAGGTGACTGAAGGTCACCCTGCACGTCTCTGCAGGCAGCCACCAGCATGGCTCTTTGGCAATCGGACCCTTGGGACGCATCCAGTCTTATGACAACCGACGTGTGCTTTATGGCCCCAGGGGCTGGGATACAGAGACCCACCTCCTCTGTGAAAGCTCCAAGTGCAGCGGAGGGAGGTACGGGGTCGGTCTTTGATAAGGAAGGAAACAGGATAAAGAAGGGATGGGGTGGTCGTTGGTACAGTATGGAAAACTGGGCATGGCTGCCATCTCCTGGTGCACAGGGGTGTTGGGCACCCTTCGTATCAGCGAGGATATTGCTCCTGGCTGCAAACGGTTCCTGGAGTCCGGCTCTCAGCAACCCCCAGAACATGCCCAGTGAGGAGCAGGAAGCTGACATCATTCCCACAGCTGCACACAGCATTACTCCAGGTCAGTACACAGCGTCCTTGGACATCACATTGCAATAATAAGAAACAGATTACCACTAAACAATGCAAAGACACGCTCCAGGCCCTTTACAAGGGGGACTTTCAAAGCATATCTCCCCCCTCCTTGCTCTCTCTCCCTCTCCCGCATGCTGGTACTTGGAAACCAGGACAGAAAGGGGCTTCAGGGTCATGAAGTCCAGTCCTCTGCTACTTGCCCCTTCAGGGGTTTTTAGCCTACATGTATTTGTGTACAACGTTGTCCTCTAGCTCTAACAGTTTTTTTCTTCCCTCCCTGGTGCTGACCCTTTGGTGTTTCTATGAGCATAAATTTCACTATTTAATCACATATGGGTTAAAAACTTGTGGCGATGGCAATTAGATTCGGTATGCAGAAGAAATGTGGAGGGGTTTGGCACAGAAGATATCATTTGTTCTGACAGCACCAGGAGGGATAAGCAGAGCCTCTGAAGGGGGAAGGAGAAGGCGGGTTGCTGCCAGAGCAGAGGTCAGAGCAGAAGGGTAGGTGCCCAAGTGTGGTGAGTACTTTGAAGGCTGCCTTTGGCTTTTAAAACTCATGTACATTTCTGTGAGAGGCAGGTTTCCCTTCAGGCTTCCAAACCTGCATAAGTTATAGCTCAAACACCCTTGTTGCTGCTGCTGTTGTCACTATTATTATTAAGCTTCCTGGTTGAAGGACTGATGTGACTTTCAAAGGTGGGGGGCTAATATCGAGAGAAGCAATCTTCCTGCCTACAAAGGGGCTGTCTCCTCACATGGGTGACTGTACCCAGCTTCTAGGACAGGGAGGATGTTGATGTCTCCATGCTATAATCTTGTTATTAATCACAGTTAAGAACTAGCCTACTCTGCAAGCTGGAACCATGCTTTTACCAGTCCAGAGGGACAGAAGAAGATGACAGTCTTCTGCGGTTACAACTCTTCTGCGGTTACCTCTATAGGCTAGCAGTGTGGTAGACCCATCTCTCAGCCCTTATACAGCAGTAAGAGCACAGCAGGACTACAGCAGATTGCAAATTCACTCTGGCAGCTAAAATTGGTGTAAAAAACTCCGCTGGGCTGACTTTGAACTGTCAAGCTCACAATTGGACCAGGGAAAATTTGTCCTCCTGCCTTCAGTGGGAAAGGGCTGAGCCTTCCATGAAGAATCACGCACTCTGGCTAATTCATTAAAATCAGTCCCTGCGCTTCAGTTAATTCAGGCACTTGTGTGCAGTTGAATGACTTGGTAATGCCATGAGCTGATGGTAGTAGTGGTAGAACTGACCCACGAAGAGGATGGGGATGCCAGAGACCTCTGCCTCATTACTCCCCCGTGCTCAGCTGTAGCAAGAAACTAACCCCAGCTAGATATGTCTGGGAGAGGCAGGGGCACCAGCCTTTTCATTTCAGAGCACAGGTTCCACTAGGACTATCACACCATCACTCGTGCTGCCCTGGTCATAATTTCTGCTTTATTACGTATCCTCTTGCTCCCTTGGTGATAGTCCTACACATTACTCTGACTACATATTTATTCTAAGGTATAGAAACATAGCGACACTTGCCATCATTTTTAGATTATTTCATGTGAACTAGCAACGTGTCAGTAATTTCTACACTGTTATGGGTAAAGCCTTCTCTGTGTGATGCTAAGGTGGGAACAAGATTCTATGGTGCTTAAGTATTTATGGCAAGAGCCATGGATGGGTCTTCAGGTCTTTCAGGTTTTCTTCAGGGTTTCTATCTTGTGCTGGCCATGGACACTCCATATTGTTCCGTAGCTTTGTGCTGTTGTACTTTCTAGCTTCTCAGATGTGACTCAGCTAACTTTTGTAGCATAGTGAAGTTTCAAAGCAAGATGCAAATGAAGACATTTGAAGATACATACGTTGATCACGCTCAAATACATTTCCCACGTTCTACATCAGACCAGCCACTTAGAAGTTATGTTGCTGACCAGTTATGGATCCCAGTGTTCTCAACTACATGTTGATCAAGTGATTTGATTTCTCCCCAAGGAAACAAAGAGTTAACACTGGAGTGACCAGAAAGAAGGCGTGTGACATCCAGCCTGAGGACCTGAATAGGGGGAAGAAAACTTTAGCCACTACATAGCTTGGGGTAATTTTATTTGGTTAATGTAGTAGACACTCCCCAGCCAGCTGCACTCAGCTTTAGATACGCTCTCAGGCAGCAGGGGCTGGAGCTGCTCGCTCAGCCTGCAGCTTTTCTGCCTGGCTTCACTGTCTGCTAAACTTCTGGAGGCTTTGGCATGGCCAAAAGATGCTATAAGCATTAATCAACTAGAAGAGATAGGCATGTTTCCCACCAGCCACTGCTTTATTCTTCAAATAGTCATTTGTTCCTGCATGTCGCACATCCCAGCAGCAGCAGATTCCCCAGTGGGATCACACAATGGGCCTCCTGCTTGGAGGGGTTGGGAATCATGAGACGTGGAGTTCTCAACAGGATTCATTCAGATGCTTTGCATTATTTACAGTGCAAACCGAAAACTGCTGCAAGGCTCAACGCACCTGTATCTTCTTTTTGCCTTCTGCCTGTAGAGATAGCTGAGAGCTTTCAATATCTGCTACTTCACTGATCCACTCAGTGCTTCCAGCTGGAAAAGCAGAGATATTTTACTGTGTTCCCCCAGTTTGCAAGGAACAGCTGGGACTCCAGAGTGTGGAATTACAAGGGAAAGATATGTGCCCAGGAACTGAACAAGAAAAGCTAAGTTTCCACAGCTTAAGAGACAACTGACTTTTTCCATTTTATTCTGTTGCTTCTACAGTCATAAAAACAGGGAGAATAAAGCTTTAAAATGAAGCAATATAATCCTTAGTAATAGAATTGTATTACATTGTAATAAAAGTAGTAATATAATACTATTACATAAATACTAATGGCACGAAGTATTCTGAAACATACACACAGTGCCATAAAAGTGTTTTTCATAAGAAATTCTCAAAACGAGAATGCATTGCTCCATGTTACTTGCTGGCATCTCAAGAGGATGCTCACAGAATCTGACTGCAGAATGAGCAGACATGAAAGGTCTGACTGTTGGGCATGGTCCTCATCCCCATTGGACTCTCAGGAAGCCTTGTAAAGACCCAAAGCGCTGTGTCCTAGCTGCTTGGCCACATCATCCAAACTTCCTGGTGCTTTCTCACATGCTGCTTCTGACGTGTCCAATGTGTAGCAATGACAGAGAATAAGGGTATTCTCTGGTGACGGTATGAAGCTCAGAGTTCAAGGCTGTAGTGGAGAAGATTCCCAGGGACTGGCTTTTCCAGTCTTGTAAACAATGCTGTGATGCACAAAGTGAGCTCGAAAGCTGCTGATGCTTGTTAGTATTCAAAGCAATGGAGGAAGCCCCTAGCAGAGAGAAAGAAACATCAACATTAAAAATTAGATGCCAAAAACTTGTTGTCTCTTCAACATGACCCAGAGTTTGAAACTATAGCATCTACTCATAGAGATCACTCTGATCAACCTTCAGCATGTCAGATAACCTCCCTTGGGACACAGCTTTCCAGACAACAGTGTTGCACCTTGGAATTTACGGTGCCGAGTAAAGCCCTCCTAGAAAGACAGGTCAGACCAGAAGCACTTAAAAGGTGGCAGACTGTGTAGCTGAATCCAGGGGAAGTGGAGCTACGTCCTGTCGAAAGGCAGAATTTTGGGGGTTAGAAAGGCCCTCTAGAGGTCTGTAGTCCAACAACGTGTTTGCAGCATGGATAACTGCAAAGCCAGATCAGGCAGCTCAGAGGAAAGTTCTCAGTGTCTCCAGGGATGGAGGTCTGACAGCCTCTCTGGGCACCTGCTCCAGGACAGCACTGCTGTTGGGGGAGACTTTTTCCTTCTGTCCAATTGGATTTTCCCTTGTTGCAACTTGTGCCCGTTGCCTCATTTTCCCTCTGTGCAGCTTTGAGGAGAGTTTGGCTCTGTCTTCGCTGCCTTTATGTGGTGGGAAAATGCTGTTAGAGCCCACTTAGACTTCTTTTCCTAAAGGTCTAACACAGCCAGTTCCCTCAGCCTCTCCTTGTAGGGCAAGTGCTCCAGCCCCTTGACCATTGCCGTGGTACTCCACCAAACCCTCTCTGGTTCCGCCGTGTCTTTCTTGTGCTGGGGAAGCCAGGACTTGGCACAACAGTCTGTGTTTCTCCAGAGGATGTGCCTGGAACGAACTCTCCTCATCACACCTCTGCACTCAGGGGGCCCTGGTCTCCTGGCATTGGTCAATCAGACTTGTCAGAACATTGACAATTAGCACAACGGGGCTGGGTGTTCACAAGGGCTGAGCACACAGACCTTCCCATTCCTTCTGTGGAGGGTTGGTGGTTAGTCAGAACTACTGAAAATGGACCCTGTTCACCTTCATTTTAATGGGTGGCTTGAGACAGCAAAGCAGTTGAGCAAGTGCCTGACTTTCAGCAGGAGTGTCCAAGTGTAGGCTTCCCAGCCACCAGAACTCAACACGGTTGCCAGGGGCAGTGAGGGACAGGTCAATTGTTAGCTGGCTCTTTAAAACCAAGACCTGAAGGGCATATTCCCTTGTACTGCGGTCTAGGGACCTGTGCTGAGTCAGCTGTAGTTTTTTACTATTCACAAGCATTTACCAGACATCTCTCTTCAGCTCCCTGGTAAGCATTACATTATGCAGTTGATTGTGTGTAAACTGATAAATTATTGAATTTCAGACAGTAGGAGACTCAGGAAGTCTGGAAGCCAAGGGAAAAAAATATTTCCTCAACAGTTACATTACATTAACTACTTTGTTAGATCAGTTGACTGACTTGGTAATGCCACTGATTACGTAACCTGTCACTTTAATGTCTTATTCCAACAGTTAGAATTAGAAAGGTCAGGTCCTGAGGTATCAAAAGACCTATGTAAAGTTTATGGTGGATGGAACTGAAATGAAGTCTACTGTTTACCTTTTCCTCAGTCAGATACAAAACAAGGTGTTTATAGCATCCTACAAACAGGTTAGTTTTTATCCTTCTAGACTTTAAGTTCCTGTCTGTATTATGTAGTCCTGTGAATTCCTCCCTCTATCTCCTGTCCATTCTGCTAGTCCCCATTCTACACATAGGCTTGCCCCACAAACAGCAAACTGATCCAGGAATTAACTCCAGTCTTGCTCTTCTTTCCTGTTCAGTAGACCACCTTCTCTTTCTTGTGTAGTAAGATACCAGGCCATACAAATAACTTCTCCAGTTGTATGGCTTGCAAGAAATGGGGAATGCAGATCTCAGTCATACGATACTCCTATGTGTAAGCTCTGGTCCTGAAAGTGAGTCCACCCATCTAGGCTTTTGAACTTGCTCAGAACTTAAAATCAGCAGCCCTGCACTGAGAAGCAAAAGGAGTGTACTCGAACCATGTCTGTAGAGCTGAATGGGCTTTTGGGATCAAATATCTGCAGTAAGCTGCAAGTTAACAAATTTGTTGCTGATCTATGTAAAGGGTTGAAATAATTTACCGTTTCTTTAGTAAAACAACCTGACAGTATTTCAAAATCTCTTCTCTACTCCTGGCCACAAAGGCACAACGTAGCAGCATGGTCCTTGGCAACCCCTGGCCCTCTTGGCCCTCTGTTCATGCAGCAACAAGCCCAAGCTTATTTTTCCTACTATTGTTTCTGCTAACGCCATTGCCAGGATCCTCCCAATGCCCTTTCCCTGGGATATTGTATTACTTTTCACTCTCAGCATTTTCTTCAAATGCCTACTAACCAAAAGGATACGATAGAGCTCCATGCAATTCAGAAAGATATATGACTTGAATCTCCAGGACCAATAAATGTCTTCTGCACGTTGGTATGCAACAAAGGTTTTCCAGCAGTAACTGTAATCTGAGAAAAGAGATATCCAGTCACTCTTAATGAAAGGCATGCCCAGTTCTTTCTTCATTAATACATCAGTGAGTCACTTCTTTCTCAGCAGACAATGGTAAAGGGCAGGAGAAAGATGTTCATCTGAGGGTATTCATGCACGAGACCAACAATGACTTGCAACTACACAAATAAGTTAGTGGAAAGGGGAACCAAAACTCTACGAATAGCAATATGTCTAAAAAGGGGAATTGCCAGAGAGAGAGATCACTATGGAGGCTTGGGCAACCCGCAACCCCTATCACAGGCAGCACATCAGGGAATAAAGCCAGAGCACGTTGTCCAAAGGAGAAGGAATCACCAAAGTGAGTGGCAGGCTGCCACTTTGGGTGGGACTGAAAAGGAAAGTGGTCCGTGCAATCAGGCATACCTTTTGGCAGCACTGTGCTTGATCACAGCAGCTTTAGGTAAGACAATAAACTTGTTACTTCAGTCATTAATCTGTCTGATTTATCTCAGGGAAAACCAGCAGTGAAGACCCTAACATTTCCATATTGATCTTAGTGTTGATAGGATGGCCAGAGCTTCTGTCAGTGCTCTGGTGGTACAATCCCAAAGACAGGTTCCCCGAGATAAGCACTGTCCTTTAAGTTTACACCTCACCTAGTAGGTTTTGTAGCTGCACACTCCAGCAGTAATAACCAGACACATATACAAACATCCTTTTCTTCAAAGGTACATTCTTTTCTGCGAGCTGCTCGTCTGGACTATTTTCACAGCCAAGCCTCAACAGGCAAGCAAGATGTGCATGCAAAAAGACGCATACACACAAGACACAATTGTCCTCTGTGTTATATCATCTGAAAATCTCCTTTAGGTATGTCTCCTCTTTTCCAGCTATCAAGGGAAACCAAGTCCTTGCTGCAGCTGGCAAGCTGATCTGCATACCTATGCGAGGAGGGACAGGTTCTATCTTACTGTCAGGATTTTTCACTGTGCATAAAGGATGCATGGATGGCTAGAGAAAGACATGATTCTTCTTGTTCAGACTTGTCAAGAGGAAGTGATCACGCTGGTCCTGCAGCTGTATGGGATTGAGGAAGAAGACAGACAGAAGAGAGTGGCATTTCTGTGCTCACTAGTCCTCCCCAATGCCAGCAACCACCACTATTACAAAGCATAACTGCTGAGAGTGCATATGTTACAGTTTGAAGAAACCACAACAACTTATTGTTGTTTAGGCAATTATTCTATCACCCAGTGACCCCTCCCCACCCAGGAGGGGGAATCAGGAAAAAACAAGAAAACCCGAGGGTTGAAATATAAATAGATTTCATAGAATAATACTAAATAATTAACATTAATAATACTAAAGAATAACTAATAATAACTAAAGAACCAATACTGATCCCATTACCAATATAAAACATACTAGGATTATATTCAGCCAATTGTATCAGTAGGAAGCTGTGCACTCCCGGCAGTGAACAGCAAATGTCAGACACTCTGGGTGCTACAGCTTTGGGAGGAAGGGAAGGCCAGTGCTGGGGCAAGAAGTTCTCAGGATCACAGCCATCACAGAAGAGAGGAAACTGCTGAACAAACTTTCTAATTTATATCAAATGTGATGTCCATGGTAGGAGATAATCCTGTTGGCCAGCTTGGGTCAAGTGCCTGGGTCTTGCTCCTCCTCATCCCTGCACCTGGCTAGCTTGAAAACACCAAGACCTTGAGACCCACATACCACAGCTGGCTATAAAGAAAATATTTTCACAAATTCAGACACTAGAGTCTTCTAAAAATGCATTTTTCCCAAGCATTAGAAGAGATCTTACTGAAAAGTAAAATTATTGAAAGACAAATAGATCTTGTTGTCACCCAAGCCAGGACAGCACAAAATCCCAGAATTTTCAATTCACACTTAGACAAAGTCAAAGAGTAGCTGGGTTACCTGGAAGATCCATGATACGTATAATGACTCCATTCATTGCCAGGTTCTTGAGACCTTGCCGGTTACGTATATCCAAGTGCTTGAACAGCTTGGCTGCATATATTTCCAAGGTCACATTGGGGTGTGCCCTCAGGAACTCCAGAATTCTTCTGGAGCATCTCCCACAGGGGGTAGTAGATAGGAACCAGGTGATAGAGCAAGAAGCTGATGGCCTGGCCTTGAAATAATTTTCCAAGAAGTTGACTTCAGCATGTTGGTCAAAACTGTTTGAGCACCAGCTCCTCCAGATGGTACCTCTGCTCCACCTGATTTCATACAGCACATACACTGCATTTGGATGTTGGTCCGGAAAATAATTTCTTATGAAGTCATCTGGAAGTATCTTCCACCTGTGACAAAATTGCCAGTAGCACTATGATCCCAGAACTTCAAGGATGTTTGGTCCCATTGCACATTGCCTACTATCAATATCAGCCAAGCCTCGCACTCTAAGCCTTTCCCAGCACAAATTAGCAGCTTGAGGAATGTTGCAATCTAACGACCTAAATCCAGAATTTGATGAAGGCTACAGAATTATTCCCCTAGAGTGGCCCTGGTGAAACACCCACAGCACCTCCTTGAGAGGTGTTGGGAGGGTAAGCAACCCCATCACTACTCTGAGATCAGCACTTGTGTAAGCAGTGAGACAACTGGAAAGGAAGATCAGGGAAAGGGATGGTAAGAGGAAAACAAGGCACAAGGCTTCTTAGCTTTGCCTGTCTCTGGAAATTGCTATGGGACCCAGCAATACATGATGATAGAACTGTATCCTTACCTTTGGTTGTTCTCTCTGGCTGCAGGACCTATATAGAAAAGATTTGCGAGTCATTGGGGATAGTAGATCAGAAAACAAAATTTCTTCTACCCCTCCTGTCCTGCCCCCTTTCAGTCTACACACTTCCTGCCAAATCTCTTCTATCTAAAAGGGCTTAATATGTAATCCCTGCACAGCAAGATAGCCACTCTGGGATGCAGGAGTGGTGGATTTCTACCTGGGAGCTAAACCTGTTGCTTGTTTAAACTATGCTGTACAGAAACCCTTCCTCACTTTAACACATTAGGGTAGACTGTGATCAAGGTGAGGCTTGACGAGGCCCTGGGCAACCTGGTCTAGTTGGGGGTGTCCCTGCTGACTGCGGGGAGGTCGGACTAGATGGCCTTTGGAGGTCCCTTCTGGCCTGGGCAATTCTATGATTCTATGATTCTATATGATTCTATGATTCTATGATTTCAGTAGTATTGCATCTGTTTTTCCCTGACTAATCAAAGAGCAGAAATAAATCTCTTCTCCCTTTGTATCTTCCAAACAACCTCTACCAGGCAATGCTGGAGTTATTTTCTTGTGGGTACTCATAATGTCAATCTAGACAAAAACATTTTCACAGCCAAAGGTTTTTTCTTCTCTTAGTATGAAACTGTTTCAAAAGCTGAAAAAATATCAGTGCCAAGGAAAAAAATATCAGTGCAGAAAGGAGGGTGATTTCTACAGGGTGGCACCACAGGTTGGCCTGATTATTTACATTTTGTCTCTCTTAGTGGCAAAGAAGTTTGATCCCATGACTCATTCATCCCTTGTTACTTGTTTTGTAGACGTCCACCCATAGCAAAGTTAAGGATCTAAGAACTCTAATTTCATTGAAGAAAAAGAATAATTTTACTTAGAATTAAGATATAAAAGGCATTTTTCCATAGCTCTTAGCTCTTTAAGATTAGGAATTATGAAATATATACAGTAAAATTACATTAGAGAAGGAATAAGATTGTCTTCCACATCGACAGAGAACTGATCAGCTCCTTGCACAGCCTTATTGCACTGATTTTTTAAGAGGCAAGAGGCATTTTCTGGTTGTTTATTACATTGGAAAAAAAATAGGTGAAAAAATAAGCCAACTAATTTTGGCCATTCTTAATTGCCTTTGACATCTCTTTCCACACTAAGAGGTCTTTTGGAATTTGAATTCTTCTTGCCTAATGCCACATCAGGTTTAACAAAATGAGACATTAATATTTTGAAGCTGGACCTAAGACTCAAGATACAGTAACACATTCGAAGAAAAGACACACACAAATTCACAAATGTCTCCTATATATCTTCATGTACCAACACACACATTTGCCTGTACTCACCAGCTGTCTAGATACAACTACTGTAAATATCTACACTGAATATGGAGAAATAGACCCGCTTTTCACATACATGCTTTTCACATACCTCTATCAGGGACAGCAGCCATGGATGTTTCTGGATTTGTCTGTCGCGTTTTGGGTGATGGATATCCTTTTATTAGTCTTACCTTTGTTTCAGTTTCTGTTCCTGAAGACTGAACTTTGAATGCCTGTAGTGTTACTCATGGTGACTTGCTCTTACGCAAATAAACTACACCACCAGGTGAAATGGAAAACAAGTTCCTGACAACAAGAGACTGTAAAAAAGGGCGAGTCCCATTCAGAAGTGGATCTGGGGGTGTAGACAACATTGCTTGCCAGAAGCTGGAACTAACAGGTGAACCATTTTTCTGCAGTACAGAATGGAAATTATATATCTTTATTACCACCAGCCCCTGAATAGGAGAGCAACTCTCCTCTATTCACCCCGATGCACCAATAGAGAAAGAGCATCTACACAAACGGCATCAAGTCACATAGTTGTGGATGGCAGATAACTTCTGGCACCCAGATATCATTAGAAAGTTGAGCAGACCCCAGTGAAGAGGGAAACAAAAGCTTGTGATGTTATGGATCTCCAGCAGGTGGTGATGGTTACTGCCATTTCTCTTCTTGGGACCATTCTCTGGAGTTCCAAGAACCACTCATACCATACCATACCATACCATACCATACCATACCATACCATACCATACCATACCATACCATACCACACCCTTGAACCTGAGTCCTCATATAAGCCAGGAAGACCCTCAGTATGTGTGAGGACACATCTACAGCTGTGGTCAGAGACCAGGCAGAATTCTCAAGCTAACTCTAAGCAAGCTGTCCAGCATCCAGGACGGCTATGGCAGAGGACAGCTTGTTGTGGGGGCGTTTATGAAATTTCACAACAGAGAAGAGATCTGTACACACATGGGCACCCTGAGAGCAAAACCTGAGCAAGCTGGTGAGCATCTGCAGAAGTTATTGGTCATGAGAAGTCAGTGATGTAAAAAGAACAGGCTTTTTCCAGTGCCCTGGGAAATCCGCTCATCATTATGAACTGGACATCACCTTCCTGTGATCTGTTCTGTAACTCACAGCAGATGCAGTGAAAAATATTTCCAATTTAACCTGAAAAATGAGTGAAACAGTGCTAGTTGCCAGAGAGAAGCTTTCCTCTGACTGACGTACACAAAGCTGACATGCAAGAGCAAAGGGATGACAAAAGATATCTTCTTATGGTTTAGCTGGATGTGACTGTGCCAAGTCTGTCTCTACCATTTACGGTTTCCTCTGTTTTTGAGACACAGCTATTTTGTGGCCTGGTGCAAGCTGCAGAAATGGATCCTTCATGAGCCATTGGCCAGGAATACGCCCTCCTTGAGGACAAAGCCATTGCCTTACTCAATGCCAAGTCTGAGTTGGGATTGTAAAGCTGGGGAAGTGATTATTTTGTGTTCTCTTAGGCCAGCCCTCAACATTCTACTGTCAAAAATTATTCCGTTTCCTGCAAGGACAGAAAGAACAGAAGGGAACACGACTGGTGGAGTACAGAGGGAGGAGGGATTCAGGCACCAGCAGGACCCTCTGTGAAGGAGAAGGCTAGTCATGGCAGGTTATCAGGCAGCAGGGTGCCAACACAACATCTGCCTTCAAGGCCTCTTCTGCTGCAAGGTCACCCACTTCACAGCACAGAATTGTCCCCCATTGGTTCCATTAGTTCATACCTTAGGAAGAGCGAATGGAATCAACTCAGACACCCAGAGGCTTCTTGAAACAAATAAAAAAGCGTTGGACTAATGTGTTTCTGAGTTCATGGACTTGGTATTCAGTAAGGCCAGAAGTGCATTGATACTATAGCGTTCTCTTCATTTCCTTCTCTCTGCAGTAGATATTTACGAATATGCAATTGCAAATTAGGCTTTGAGATGCTTAGCCTGATCTGCAAGAAATGGCCTGATTTGCAGCAGTGCTTAGGAGCAGTAGTTCCTGGTATAAAATGGGCGATGTGCCACAGAAAGCAGGGAGAGAAAAAACATGAGTCTAAGTAGAAGCAAAGAATTTGCAGTGCAACGTTTCCAGGTGTCTCCAGGAAGCTGAATGTGCTCTATGAGATGGTGGAAAACAACAACAACAAAAAAAATAATTAAAAAAAAAAATTAAAAACATGTCATTCTGCACTTCCTGCCAGCCTAATGTGAGGAGAGGAATCCCTTCCAAATCCAGCAGTTGGTTTAACCCTAGCAAAATCAGAAAGACAAGGTTACCACACAAGTAAGTTTTCTTGCTTCTAGAAGAATTTCTACATCCTGTCTATGGGGATCAAATTTCAGTGCTTCAAAGGATGATGATAAATTCCAGACATGTCATATCTCTGGGTAGGGAAACTCTACCTTGGCCTTTATGAATGAATGGCACTAGTCCAGTATGCCTTCAGGTTGCTACAGGTCTGTAGCAAGGGTCAAATATCTGGGTGGGTCCTCATATTACTCTGACAGCTATGACCGTAATATTTTTTTCTATTTCTCGTGCTGTCAAAATATCTCCCCTTATAGAAATTGCTTAAGACAACGTTAGAGAGAAATGTGAAGGTGGTTTTTATCACTGAGTTATTGATAACATCTAAATACACCTCACCCACCGCAGCAAATGGATTTTTTTAAAAATAACCATCCTCTCATATGCATACTTCCTGAACATAAATGAATTTTGGGGGAACATACACTGCAAAGGGCACACAGAACAGTGCATATACACTCACTCATGACTCCTTTAGCTAGCAGGTTCCTTAGACCTTCACGACAATATTCCCTTTGGTGGTAGTAGAGCCATGCTGTGTATATATGACCAGATTCGCTGGGAGTAATCATCTAGAAACTTCACAGTTTCTTCAGAACACTTTGCAGAGGGACTGCAGGATATAGACTCAGCGATAGAGAGGTGGACAGAGAACAAGGAGCTAGCTCCTCGCAGATGTCTCCCAGGAAACAGATTTCAGCATCACAATCCTTCAACATGGCAGTATTATAGCGGTGGCATCTACTGGATGTGCTCCCCCAATTTATCTCACTGAGCCCACGGTGTCCTGTGAGAAGAGGCATGTAGTTTGCAATTTTTCTCAAACGTCCTTGGGCTTAACCGACACTTGAAACCCAAGAGGTACATCTGGTAACACCAACTCCAGCATTCCACTGAACAGCTTTATTCAGCATTAAAACACAAATTTGGACTGAGGTAGAAGTCATAGACATAGAAACATATGAAAGAAATCAGGAAAGACAGGCTTTCTATTCTCTGGCTGAATGATCTGTTGTTGGAAAGAGGTGAGAATCAGCAGGTGGAAGTCTGGAAGCAAGGGGGAAGGCAAAACTTAAAAGTGATTAAAAGCTTGGGCTTCACGTCACAGAGGTTCAAGGGTCTCCCGGACTTAATTTGTGAATGTAAATTTTGTGTTAGTTCAAGTGTTCATCTGCTGGCACGTTTGACAGTAAAAGGAAAATCCACTGTATGTTTGTTTGGATTTAATGGAGTTTTCTCAGTAGATGTCTCCTTTTTCATGGAAAGAAAAAAACATACAGGGCCTTTTGACATTTGCTCTGTGAGCTTCAAATTTTAAAAGGAGCTAAAGTGTGTCTCTGTGTGTATGAAAATAGATGCATGAGCACATGCACACAAATATTTGCATGTATATGCATGCATAATAATGCAATAAAAACAAGTTGTAGATACACAAATACACATCCTCATACTCATGCCACGTATGAGTTTACAGCTCTGACTGATAAGCACACCTTACCTCTTACCTCTCCCAGCACCTTTGCTTTTATTTCCCCCGCTGGTTACACAGCCTCGTCATACTTCACTGAGACTCTTGTTCGGTTTCCATACGTGGAAACTGAAACGTAAGAGATTAAGATAACCGATGACGCCCCGCTACTACTGGGAGAGCTTTATGAGTCTGACTCCAAACAACGAAGTGGAATGGCAGCCAGCCACGAGAGCATGGGGGCAGAGTCCTGACCCAAGCGAGAGGCAGAACAGGTAGGTAGTGGGAAGGACGTAGCTGTGTGCTTACCTCACTATAAGTTTTTCTTAGCTAAAAAAAAACATCCCCATATCCTTGTAATACAGTTCTTTCACATTAATCGGCGAGGCTACAGAAATCAGAGAAGTGATCAAATAGATTTCATGAGGGGCCAGTGTGAAAAAAGAAAAGCTGCAACATATGTGCATTTTGGACTATGTTTTTCTACTCTAAGTAAGTGAACATATGTGTATTTTGGACTATGTTTTTCTACTCTAAGTAATCCTTCTATAGTCATTTGACACTACTTTGAATCACACGTGTTCTATATATTTATCTTCCTGATTTTGCCTCATTTCTACATCTCTGTTTTAATGCACATGTTGTATGAAAGCACTTGCTGAACAATAAATACCCCAAAACAGAAGCAGGAACGTAGTGGACATCAGAGTGTCCATACTCTCCCTCGAGAGGCTGAGTCTGGCATACAGTCATCACACAACTGGGAGGGTTTTAAATTGTGAGAGGGATGAAAAAAACAGGTGGACTTCACTTGAGGGAAAGCAATGATTCATCTGTTCCTTTCCTATCAGAATACTGGAGAGAGTGTTCAGAGCACCTCCAGGAACTTTCAGTGCTGAGCTTTTCTTTCCCAAGCATTCAGGGATTGCTCAATGGCAACCATCCAGTTAAACTCTCCCCAAAATTCACCTGTGAGATGTAGCTCCCATGGGAGGTAAAACCTCCATCAGGAGCAGAAAACCTCCATCAGAACCAGGCCAACCACTGGGCACCATCAAGGATGGAGTTAGTTTTCTTCATGGCAGCCCATATGGTGCTGTGATTTAGAGTAGTGACTGGAACAGTGTTGATAGCACACCAACATTTTAGCTATTGCTGAACAGCACTTGCACAGCGTCAAGGCCTTGTCCGTTTCTAACTTTGCCCCCCACGTGAGTAGGCTGGGGGTGGGCAAGAGGCTGGGAGGGAACACAGCTGGGACAACTGACCCAAACTGACCACTGAGATTTTTCATGTCATGTAATGGTATGCTCAACAATAAAAATTGTGGGGATGATGAGGGGCCTGGAGCATCTCCCTTATGAGGAGAAGCTGAGGGACTTGGGTCTTTTTAGTCTGAAGAGAAGACTGAGGGGAGATCTAATCAATGCTTATAAATACTTAAAGGGAGGGTGTCAAGAGGATGGGGCCGGCCTTTTTTCAGTGGTGCTCAGGGATAGAACAAGACGAAATGGGCACAAACTTGGATATAAGAAGTTCCACCTAAACATGAGGAGGAACTTCGTTACTTTGTGGGTGGCAGAGCCCTGGAAAAGGCTGCCCAGGGAGGTGGTGGAGTCGCCTTCTCTGAAGACATTCAAAACCTGCCTGAACACATTCCTGTGCAACCTGCTCTGGGTGGACCTGCTCTGGCAGGGGGGGTGAATTAGATGATCTCCAGAGGTCCTTTCCAACCCCATATCATTCTGTGATTCTGTGATTCTGTGGCATATCAAGTCTCATTTGGTATGTTTATTTTTACTATTACATTAGGTAGAGTATTCTGTATTTAATTTCCTTGCTTTCCCCCCACACACACCCTGAGGACAACTGAACTGAATATAAGGTCTCCTCTGTTTGATCACAGACCTATCCACTGGGCAAATGTGACTCAAAAGGAATGGCTTGAAATAAAAATTTCATCATTGTATTATAGATAAGCAGAATCCAGACAACTGACCAGGTGTCCAGAGCCACTGTTTTCTGTGACTGTCACAGCAGCTCTTGACAGACACTGTTAGGGAACAGCAAGGGCCAGCTACTCCCAAAAGGATGAGGAGCCAGAGTCAAGGAAGATAAAGCAGCCAGCAAGGAAAGAGCCTTGCTAATCAGGACCCATCCCAATGTACCCAGAAAAGGAGAGGAGGGCAGGCCCAGGGCTAGCAGACAGGATCAACCAAGAATCCAGGTTTTCACACAGGTTCATGTTGATGAGGCAGGTCCTAGGTCAAGCTGAGAAGTCAGTCCTCAGGACAGGATCAGGTCCTGTGATGGCAACCAAGGTCACATACAGACACAGTGATCACCAGGCTGGTCTGTAGAGATGAGACAACCCAGTCTCTTCTGGGGTCAACCCAGAAAATCGGTTCACGGGTCAGGAAACAGACCAATGGGATCTGTGGCTGTCCATGGGCCTGGACATAGGCATGGGTGTGAGAGATGGAGACAAGCACACCTACGCCATAGATCAGGAAGGGACTAATAGGGCAAACCTGAGCTTAAATAGAGTTCTGGGCCATCTATGGACAGTGTGTCAGTAGAAGCCCCAAGTGAGGGCGGTCAAGGCATCTAAGCTTTTTTCAAACCTTAAGGCCCTGAAAGAGGCATACTAGAGTAAATGCCTTCAGTTTTTGTCATGAAAACAATCTGGGGGTCCTTCCTAGCCTGTGACATAGGAATGTCACAGCCTTGCTTTTGCCAAGATCTGGTTACAATGCAAACAGTGGCTGAGTGTGGTAGGCCAAGGCCATCAGGATAATGTAAACAAGAACTAAGCACAATGAGCCTTGGCATGGGTGGTGGATCAACAAGTGACAGAACCATCCCCAAAGCTGATGGGAAGGTACACTGTGATATTATCTGATTGACAGCCTGTGCTAACAACTACTTACAAAGACCTTCAGCAGCAGAGACTGAGGGGGGACACTTAGTTCACTTTGTAAATTGAGCTGAGCAGTTTCACATCGTCTGTGTTTCTCTTCCCACCATAAGAACTTGTGTGATCAGTTTTTTATGCCTCCTTAAGACCAGCTTGAAAGCATCTGCTCCTGAACTTGTAAGATATAAAGAATCATATCTAAACAAGAGGACACATCTACCAAAGAGGACATTACTTAATTGAGTGCGCTGGTTTGTGAGTTACAGGTTGTCATCTCTTAGTTTCCATGAGCCAAATTCTCTTTAGGCTAGACTGGTCCAAAACTCTGAGTAATTCTGTTGATTACGCTAAAAGATTAGCAATAAAAATGAGAGAAGAATCAGGTCCAATCATAGCTTCAGAGTTTAATTACTAAAATCTGCATAAGTAAATGGATATTTCTCCTCGTCTTGCAAAAATAACCTAGCATGAGGATGGAGAGAGGTTCTATTCCCAAGCACTCGGTACTGACAGCAGGGTTTGTGCATCTGCATGGTACAGAGGAGCAAACAACCCAGCTTGACCACTGCAAGGGATACAGCTGCATTCCTACAATTCTTTGTGCAGCCTGATGTGCCTTGCTTTTCAAGGAGTTTCCAGTAGATACATCTACTGGTCCAATTCCAGGACAGGCTTACAGATAAAAATATTTTCTTACTTCTTTTAGCCAGCTGAGTGGAACTGCTGAAATGTAATGGCCATGGATGCTGTAATTATCAGTCCACTGTCGCACCACTTGGTGGATGAAGGATTTGCTTCTCTTGAATGGAGCGTCTGTGGATTTTTTAAGTTGCTTTTTTAAGATCAAGTGCTGCTGTCAGTTACATGTTAGTGCTCCCACTGAGCTGGTGGAAAATTCTCTAGGCTAACACAGTTTTTCAAATGTAGACAAGTGTTTCAGTGATTAATGATGAGACATTAGTAGAGCAAGAACTGGCACTTATTGTGATTAGTTGATCAGTTTAAAACAGACACAAGTACATATTTACATGGCAAGCTGTGAACTTCCAGGATCTGCTGCCCCAGTAAGCTGGGGCCCCCAGGACAGGGTCAAAAGAGATCTGAAAAATTTCTGGTACCAAGTTTATAAACAGACACTATAGAGAAGATGCAGGGTTCCCAACCACAGTCACCTCACAAATAGGGACATAGAGAAAGCAGAGACTTTTAATGCCTTCTTTGCCTCTGTTTTCAACGCCAATGATGGGGCCCAGGACCCCGTGTTTGGAAAACTGTAACTGAGGGATGATAAACTCCCAGCTGACCCTGAACTTGTTCGAGACTTGCTGCTCCAGCTGGATGCACATAAATCTATGGGGCCTGATGGGATTCATCCCAGGGTACTGAATGAGCTGGCCAATGTTACCATGAGACCTTTCTCCATTACTTTTCAATGGTCTTGAGAGTCTGGAGAGGTCCCTGTCAACTGGAAACTGGCAAATGTCATGCCAATTTTCAAGAAGGGTGAGAAGGAAAACCCTGGTAATTACAGGCCTGTCAGTCTCATTTCAGTGCCTGGTAAAATTATGGAGAAGGTTATTCTGGGAATTACTGAAAAACACTTGAGAGACAACACAGTCACTGGTCATAGCCAGCATGGGTTCATGAGGGGAAATTCATGCTTAACCAACTTAATTTCCTTTTGTGACAAGGTTACCCATCCAAGGCTACCAAGGGAAGCCAGTAGACGTCGCAGGTTTGGATTTTAGCAAGGCTTTTGATACTGTGTCTCACAGTACCCTTCTGGATAAAATGTCCAGCACACAGCTAGACAAGTCCATAATATCTTGGGTGAGCAATTGGCTGATAGGTTGGGTTCAAAGGGTTATAGTAGATATGACCAGTGGGGTTCCCCAAGGCTCAATTTTAGGGCCAGTGCTCTTTAAAGTTTTTATAAATCATCTGGAACAGGAATCTAATGTATATAAACTGTTTGCCGATGATACTAAACTAGGAGGAGCTGGGGACTCCCTCAAGGGCAGAGAGAACTTACAGAGAGATCTGAATAGAATCAAGACCTGGGCAGTCACCAATCGTATTAGGTTGGGTTCAAAGGGTTATAGTAGATATGACCAGTGGGGTTCCCCAAGGCTCAATTTTAGGGCCAGTGCTCTTTAAAGTTTTTATAAATCATCTGGAACAGGAATCTAATGTATATAAACTGTTTGCCGATGATACTAAACTAGGAGGAGCTGGGGACTCCCTCAAGGGCAGAGAGAACTTACAGAGAGATCTGAATAGAATCAAGACCTGGGCAGTCACCAATCGTATGAAATTTAACAAGAGCAAGTGCCAGATTCTCCACCTGGGACAGGGTAGGTAGTCCTGGTGCTGATCTCCTCTCTTTGGAGGCTAGCAACAGGAGGAAACAGAATGAAGCTGCATCAGGGGAAGTTCAGCTTGGACATTACTGAGCAGGTGGTCGGTCACTGAACAGGGTCCCCAGTGAAGTGGTCACAGCACCAAGCCTGTCAGAGTTCAAGGAGCATCTGGATAACACTTTTAGTTATATAGTTTAGTTTCAGGTCGTCCTGTGAGGAGCACGGAGTTGGACTCAGTGATCTTCTGAGCGGGTGGTCGGTCACTGAACAGGGTCCCCAGTGAAGTGGTCACAGCACCAAGCCTGTCAGAGTTCAAGGAGCATCTGGATAACACTTTTAGTTATATAGTTTAGTTTCAGGTCGTCCTGTGAGGAGCACGGAGTTGGACTCAGTGATCTTTATGGGTCCCTTCCAACTTGAGATATTTTATAATTCTATGATTCTACGAAGGGAAGGTCCTGAAATGAAAATAAAAATATGACATTTAGATCCTTTGACAATTGCACTTTGGACTTGCTGTGATTTGAAATGGACTTAACAGAAGAATTCTACTACTTGTAATAGCGCAGAGTATTTTTTTTCCACAGATACCATGTAAAATGGATTTCACAGATGTTCAATGACCCACTTAGCCATAGATTTCTTTTGCTGTTTCACTAAAAATAGCATTTGTCAGAAAACTCTAATACATTGAAATCAAAATGCTGCAGAACTTATATTAGCTTTACAAGGTTGTTTATATTTTTTTGTAAACAGCCATTCCAGGCCGAGGATATGGACCTGTTCATTCAAGCAGGGTCTCTTGCCTCTGAGGGCAGAAACTTCCAGCACTGCTGGTGACGTATTCACTCTTCTCTTTCCTACCTTTCAGGAGGTTTGGCACAAAACAAAAACAAAGGTTGGATTTTCCCAGACATTCTCTTTTTAACAACTTTTCTCATCTCACAGAAACTGTAACCTTCAGACCAGCCAGGGAAGTTGCTGAATCGAATCTGGGAGGGGGTGTCGAACCACTGCAGATATTGACAGAAAGTGGATGAGTAGCATCATTTGCTGAACATAAACCCATGCTCAGATCCAGATTAGAAAGGAACCTGGTGGATGGTTTCTGGGATAAGACTGGAATTTCATCTGATAATTAAGGGATTATCACTCTGGAGCCTGAAGGAGAAAAGCTACACTCTTAGCCTTAGCTTGGTAATATGATGGAAGAAAATCCACACTGCTTGTCTCCCAACTGGACAGGACAGTTCCTATGATTACTTTTTCCAAAAGCATGTTGCAGCACTCTTTAGACTCTAACTAAACATGAACACCACCTTTCCTGCTCTTTACAGCTCAGTGACCCCAGACTGCAAATCATTTCATGTGATTCTCCCTATCCTTCAGAGTCTACTAACCTCAAAGACATCCTCGAGCTTCCGATGATTCTCAGTTATCTTTGATTGAAAGCCCATAGTCCAGGAATCATCATCATAATCATCACCTCCTTGGATAAAGGTTTTCCAACAGCGAGTATAGTCTGGAGAAATGGAAGCAAGATGACTCACATGAGTTTAGTCAGAAACTAGACAAGCTCAGGGAACAAGGCTTTCTAACCTCTTCCTGGTGCCCATGACACAGACACAGCTTGGCATGGAGAGACCAGCTGATGGATTCTGTCCACTACGTATTTGGAACTAATACTATTTTCTCTGGGCCTTTTTAGCAGCGGAGGTCTCCTTCAGCCAGCCTTATCCCAGCAGCTGCATTTAGTCCCCTAGAACAAGGGAAAAGCACCCTATCTTCCATTCCCTCAGGAGTGACAGAAAGATGGTGTCTTTAAACAAAGGAGACTTTTCATGCAGGTCTGGTTGCTAAGACCAGAAGGGGGGTTGCTGTCCCCTTTCTCCTGCACTATTAACACCTTTTTTTTGGGTGCAACACTCAGTCACTGAGTGGTGATGGATGTGCCCCCAAAGAAGCTGGGTATGACACTGGGCTCAGAAGGAATCAGATTCAAGCAGGCACAGGGTTCACCACTTTCACCCCTCCCCAGTCCCACAAAGCATGGGAAACCTTGCCTTCAATTTTCATGACAGCAATGGTTACTCCCTCCAAGCTCACAAGGTTCTTCAGACCTTGACGGTTTTCTTCATCTTCTATGTAATAAAGACGTGCTACATATATATCTATGTTCACATTTGAGTGCCTCTCTAAGAAATTCTGTATTTTAAGGCAGCACTCTGCACAAGGGCTCCAAGACAAGTACCAGGTAATGGAACAGTTGACGTAATTATTGGATCTTTTGATCTTTAAGATCTTCTCCAAGAAGTAGACTTCAGCATGGCAATGGTCCTTTCTGACCCAGTGTATCCAAGGCCTGCCAGTCTCACCCCACTGCAGTTTGCATAGTAGGTATGTGTCCCGTGGAGACTTACGGGGGTCAAAATGATGCTTTAATGCCTTCTTAGATATATACATGCTGAAACAGAAGAGAAACTTCAAGGAATCACTGGTTACAACTTTGTTTTCGGTAGTACACAAAAAAGGGGGAGGGTGGAGGAAACGAGAGGAAAACAGAGAAAGGCAGTCCATGAGAGAGCAATGCATGGAAAATGGTGGGCACCACAACAGGGTAAAAGAAGCAAACCCTGAACCACCTGATCCTCCCTTTGCCTGCAACTGCATGAAGAACGTTCACATCCTCACCCCTCCCTATGGCTGTCCTCTTCCTCATCAGCATAGGTATTTCTAAAAGCTTTCTATATCTTTTCATGTGTCAGACATTTTTCCATGACTCCTACGTAGCCATTTTCAATGTAGGGTGCCCTTGCATATGTTGTAAAAACTAAAAAAAAAAAAAAAAAAAAAAGAAAGAAAAATAAAACCAGTGGTAAATTATGAAGCTGAGTGTTTCTCCTTCTTGGATTCTCTTGGTGTTTGTGTTTTCATCAGGATTAGCACAGTCAGCACAATCCTACATGACTGAATGAAAAAGAGGTTCTATGTATAAAAAGATGCAGCTCATAAGAATGACATTTTTTGATAGACAGTCCATCTCTTAGATCCAGATCTGTTCAGCTCAGAACAGATATCTAAATATTGACAATTAAGTAACTGTACAAAGACTGCCAGTGTTGGTCGTGAATGTATCCTTTATATCAGTAATTATCCATGACACACAAATAATATATGAAGTCACCATTAGCACTTTAGCCTTTGTACAATTGCTCTATATAGAGATTTATATGAGAAAGCACTTCATATGTATATTTTTCCACATTAGAGTAATTCAGAATAAATCTAGGACAGACTTTTAACAGAGAAGCAATAAACCTGTAGCACTCAACAACAACAAAAAATCAGCCTTCCTATTGAATTTATGTAAATGTAGGAAATATAAATGTCACCAAATGTTTAATTCTGGTACAGGAATAACTTCTTTTTTATTATTCTTAGTTCATTTAGTATGTTGTTGAAAAAAACAACAGAGAAAGAAAACAAAAGTGAAACATGGGCTTAATTTTTATTTTTTCTCATTTGAGCTGCTGAAAGATATATTTTTTGTATTTCTATTATCTTATTTGGAAGTTAGTGCCTATTAGCTTTAATTTTTTTTTTTAAATTTGATGATTAGGGAACATTTATATATATAAAATAAGTATATAACGAACATAATATATATGTGTGTGTGTGTGTACAGGGACTATAGTGACAGTAGTTAAAGTTCACCAAAGAAAATGCATTGAACTCCCAATACTCAAGCCAAATCAGTTAATCTAATTCTTACCGAAGCTGTCTTTACAGCTTTGGAAAGCAATGTTACAATAGATTGCAGACGTCTGACTTGTTCAAAGGCATCTGTAGTTGAAGCCATGTGATTATAACATACAGACAAGTTAAAATTTCCGGGTCTTACTTAAACTGGTCTAAACTGGCACCCTCTTGCCTATATCTTGACCATAAAATATTGCACTGTGGCTAAGCTATTGCAGTGGGTGTCCTGCGCACATTTTCAGGGACATAAAGCTATTTCTTTAGAACAGTCTTGCAATACAGTAATCTTAAGATATAGCCACCTTAAAGATGTGTTAAGCCAAGTGAAATTTATTGTGTAATCAACTTAATGCAATATAAACAAAAGCCTACATTCTTATAAATATCCACTACAGATATAGCTTGCTATTTTTTAAATAATGGACTAACGTAAATTTAAACAGCTCTAACAGAAGGACAGACAAATTTAAAAAAAACTTCATAAAACATTCCCACACTACAGAATATATACGGAATCCCAGCAGCTATTCTTTTTCCTCCCCAATCCAGACAACAAAATACTTAAAATAAGTTGTGAGTTTACAGATAAATTGCCCAAAGCCACGCAATCACTTTTTTATTTGTATAACTGTCACAAACAGCCCTTGCTGTTCAACATTGTTGTGTATGGTACACATATAGACATGGAGCCTAACTCAAAAAAATCAAGCACTTAATAGCTGGTTCCTTGATACAAGTATGAGACAAAATTATGAGTTAGGAAAAAAAAAAAGTCCTAAGACCTTTTTTGTTTTCTTACTAAATTTGGTTCATCAGTCTCATGTAGGTGGACTTGTAACTGTTTCAGAATTTAAGAGCTGGAGAGAAATACACCAACTGTAAAGACTGACTGAGTACTTGAAAGGTGAATTGCACCCAAAAATGTTTAGAGGAGTTTGGGGTGAAAATGGCAGAGGGATGACAGGCAACATAAATATCTTCTAGACTTTATTGTCTTTTCTATTAATATGCCACTGCTATGTAAATGTGCATTAAACCTTAAAAATGTATTGACTGATTACAAATATCTTTTAAAATGTGTTAGCTATACTTTTTCTGTTGCCCTATCATCCATAATTTGAACAGGATTTATTTTTAAATGGACCGAGTTTATTTTTAAATGGACTACTTTTATGAAAACAGCTCCTAAAACTAATCTCTTTTTATTAAAACTTTGTGTTATAAACTGCACCATTATAGATATTTAGTAATTGTCCTTCCTTCCTCTAACACGTATTAGGAATTATTTAAAATTCTGCTCATTGCAAGATAATAACAGTAATAATGGTAATACCTAAAAATGTACAAGCATAGATATGTCAAAATCTCTTTAATCCGCGTTTTTCCTCCATTGCTAAGGCTTTGCACAGCGGATGCACTTCTTTACTAAACTCTGCATTAAAACTAATCCTTTTTTCCCTCTGTTGGACAGAAAATGTCTGGTTTGACACTTCCTGTTTATTTTGTGGCACAACAGCCCTTTCAAGACACCTCGGAAGAGTCGAGCAGGGAGGAGGCACTTTTGGATTCTCTTGCTGCCCAGCGTTGGGGTGGAGGACCCAGCTCCTACCTTCGCCCGTCCCCAACCCACCCCCAGCTTTTGCTTGTTTTTATCAGCTCTTTTTTTTGTTCCCGGCCATTTTATGGCTCCTGTGACACTTTTACGCTGGCAGGAACTTCCCCAACGGGCTCAGGCTTCAGTCTGGCCCCTCTCCCGCTGCAGTCACACCGGGGACCAGGTCTCCCTCCCAGCCTGGTACCACCTTCACCCTTCCCCAAGCCAAGGCACAAGGCTTTGCACGGACAGACAGCGCGGGGTCCCCTGGGGTGGGAGCAGCGACAACACAACGCAGGGAGCTGAAGCCGGGGTGGTTTTCTTTAGGTCAGCGATTATTTTTTTTCTTTCTTTCTTTTTTCTTTTTTTTTTTTACCCTCTCAGCTTTTTCTTGTACATGGCTTCTCCTCTCCCCGGGGAAACCCTCCGGCACTGCTCCGTTTGTTCCCTCGGTGGTGCCCTCCTTTCGGTTTCTCTTCTCGGCTGGCTCCCTGTGATGTAGGAGGAAAAGGGGAAAAAAAAAAAAAAAAAAAAAACAAACCAAACGATTGGAGCGAGGTCACTCCCACCAAATGACAGTGTCTTCTGCAGCACTGCCTCAGCTGGGGAGCCAGGGCTCTTACGGGATTCCGGTTAAAAACGTAATAATTACGTAAAAGCGTAAAACCTCGCTGAAGCCTTCTTGTAGGTTTGAAAAGGATGATAATGCTTCATCGGCGGAAAAAAACCCTGAGATTTATTCTTCTGTGCAGGAAACTCCGCCCAGGGGTGCAGGTGTTCTGTGGGCACAGGCCTTTCCGCTGAAGCACCCGAAGCTCGGCTCGGCGGTGGCTTGAACCAAATGAGTCCAGAGAGAGTCCTGCAGAGACTCTGCAGACCTCAGCAGGACCTCTCAGACCTCACCAGAGCAGGAGCTCGGTGGAGCAGGGGACAATGCCACCCGAGTGACTCCTCACAGACCCATGAGCTATGCCACGCTCCGCACGCTGGACACGCTGTGTGGTCCAGGAGGCTAGATCACCTCAGGGTCAACACCACTTGGGTGCACAGAGCCAGCTTTGGCCTAGCACAGTGACAGAGCTATTTGGCCCTCGAGGAACCGGCCTCGGTTATTTTCCCATTACCTGCACATCCCCAAACTGCATGAGTTGACGGCGTGAGGATTTTGGTTTCCATTTCTCTTTTCGTGGAGTACCTGAAGAAAATTGCCAAGCCCTGTCTCTTCTGAGGGACAAGGATCTTCAGTGATTTTGCCACAGACGGAGTGATTAACTTCACTAGTTAGAGTGAAGTAGTGAAATATTTATTAAGGTGAAACAGAGATTTAACAAAATCAGTAGTAAGTGCGATAAAACCAGTAGTAAATGACACAGTGTTTTACAAGATTCATAGAATCATAGAATCAATTCAGGCTGGAAGAGACCCTTGGGATCATCGAGTCCAACCATCTCCCCTACTCTACAAAGTCCTCCCCTACACCATGTCCCTCAGTACCCCATCTAAACGTCCCTTAAACACAGCCAGGGATGGTGACTCCACCACCTCCCTGGGCACCCTATTCCAATGCCTGACCACTCTTTCAGTGAAAAATTCCTTCCTAATGTTTAGTCTAAACCTACCCTGTTGGAGCTTGAAGCCGTTCCCTCTCGTTCTATTGTTAATTACCTGTGAGAAGAGACCAGCCCCAACCTCTCTACAGTGTCCTTTCAAGTAGTTGTAGAGAGTGATGAGGTCTCCCCTCAGCCTCCTCTTCCTCATACTAAACAGTCCCAGCTCCTTCAGCCGCTCTTCATGCCTTCATTCGATGGCAAGGCCCACTCTATTATTTACTGCAGAGAGGACAGGGTCAGACAAGATGTCAGGGAGACCCTCCCGTTGAGTCCCAAGGTTCAGAAAGGTCCCCCTTTTCTTTCTGAACTCCTCCTCAGAGAGGAGTCTGGGTGCGGCTGGATCCAATCCCAGTCCCAGACTTGGTCAACGGTTTATGTTGAAAGGATTATATCTGTGCAATCAATTACTTAGCTAAGATTTCAAAGTTTAGCATGTTGTTAGTCACTTACCGAGAATCTGTTGCAGCAAGGAGTCTCTCATCCTCAAGGAGTACAACCTTAAGCAAGCGTCCTCACTCAAGGGGAGATCCTGGTAGCCGCTGTCATACAGGAGAGCTCAAAGGGCTCTGGGGCTGTCCACTATTTATAGAGTAAGATAATTGACCTACAGTCATATTCTCATGGGAACAAAATATCTAGGTCCCCACTCCAGACGGTATTTTGACAATGTTGCCAGCCATCCCCCAAAGTCCAGGTGCAAGTTATCACAACTGATGTTGTGATGGCCATGGTGGCCAAGGCCCAAGCAGGAGCTGGAGAGGGGGGAAGCAAAGCAGGGAAAGCACACCACCAGAGATTTGAGGACTGATGCTGGAGCTACCACCAGATGTTGACACCAGCTGGGCAAACTCTCTTGACTTAAGCGTGGACTTCCTCAGAAACCACGTCTCTCCATGAGGGCTAAAGTGAGCACTGTGGGCTGTTGACTAACCAATGCATGCTACCCTAGCCTGATGGGGAAACTTTGTGTGCATCTTAGAAGAGAATGTAAAGACATGCATGACCAGTGTGTTCGCTTTGACATGGTTGTTCATGCATTGTAAGTATCTGTGGCAACAGTGCAACTTGCTGAATGCTGAAAAGGATCAGAGATACGACTGGAAAAGGTCTGCTGGGAGTGCATACATGTGAGGTATTAAAAATGCTATTTCTGTAATAAAAAAACACAAATAGAAGTTCATGGTGGAAATCCCTGAAGCTCAAGGTTGCGATAAACACACCTACCTTTGACTGAAAAACTGACATTATTAAGGAATAAGCCTCTGAAGATTTCCAATTGAGACACAGAATACTTCACAGAATCACAGAATTGTTGGGAGTTGGATTGAGACGCAGAATGCTTCACGGAATCACGGAATTATTGGGAGTTGGAAGGGACCTTCTAGAGACCATCCAGTCCAACTCCCCTGCCAAAGCAGGGCTGCCCAGAGCACATCACTCAGGACTGCATCCAGGCGGGTCTTGAAGATCTCCAGAGAAGGGGACTCCACACCCTCCCTGGGCAGCCTCTGCCAGGGCTCTGCCACCCTCACCCCAAAGAAGTTTTTCCTCACATTGGAGTGGAACTTCCCATGTTCCAGCTTGTGCCCGTTGCCCCTCGTCCTCTCACTGGGAACCACTGAAAAGAGTCTGGCTTCATCCTCCCTCAAACTACCCTTTAGATACTTATAAGCTACTTATAAACCGTAATGGACTGAGTGGAGATTTGATGAGAATGTTTCCTGCAGGGTAATGTGAGTACGCATTTGTTTATGTGATCCATGCCACCGACCCTGCTCTGACAGCAATAAACATCACCTAAGGTGAATCAAGAAATGGGATGTTATTTTCCTAAACTGCAGCAGCTCTGATCACTAGACTGTGCCTGTCAACAACTTCTTCCAAAGGTGCAAGCAGTATGTGATGGGCTGACACTAAGCAATGACTATATCTCTTCTCCAGAAGCCATTTCTCCTTCTACATATTGCTTCACCTCTAGTTCCACAAACCATATTGCTTGTATCTGTGACCTCTGAAAGCCCTTAGTGGACAGACACACGTCACAACAGCTATAATTTCTCAGGATCTGTAATTTTACCGATGATTCTCACTCACCCTCCATCACACAACCAATATTAGTGAATGACACAGAGGTGTAAAACTAACGCAGCTTGAGGTACAAGAACGTAACGTTTCCTAGGTCAGGTTCTCTTTCATTCTTCCAGAGGTTGCTTTTCCTGCCCAGGCTTCATCATCTTCTGTGTACGGCAACAGCAGCATGGCACGCTGATCTGGATTTCCCACCGCTTGAGGAAAAAGATGCTTCTGTTGTGTTGTGAAGGCTTCACATCACGTTGTCAAGCCATAGGTTAATCATAGAATCATAGAATCATAGAATGGTCCAGGCCGGAAGGGACCTCCAAAGGTCATCTAGTCCGACCTCCCTGCAGTCAGCAGGGACACCCCCAACTAGACCAGGTTGACCAGGGCTTCATCGAGCCTCTCCTTGAATATCTCCAGGCAAGGGGCCTCAACCACCTCCCTGGGCAACCTGTTTCAGTGCTCCACCACCCTCACAGTAAAGAACCCTCTCCTGATCTCCAATCTAAATCTGTTCCCCTCCAGCTTGAAGCCATTGCCCCTCGTCCTGTCGCTGCAGGCCTTTCTAAACAGGTTCTCCCAGCCTTCCTGTAGGCTCCCTCAGGTACTGGAAGGCTGCTATTAGGTCTCCCCAGAGCCTCCTCTTCTCCAGGCTGAACAACCCCAGCTCCCTCAGCCTGTCCTCGTAGCAGAGGTGTTCCATCCCCCTGATCATCCTTGTGGCCCTCCTCTGGACCCTCTCCATCAGGTCCATCTCCTTCTTATATTGAGGGCTCCAGACCTGCACACAATACTCCAGGTGAGGTCTCATCAGAGCAGAGTAAAGTGGCAGAATCCCCTCTCTGGACCTGCTGGCAACTCTTCTTTTGATGCAGCCCAGGATGTGATTGGCCTTCTGGGCTGCAGCTGCACACTGCCTGCCACACTCACTCTTCTCTGAGTGAGCTGACAACAAAGGGCCGCATGTTTCCTATCACCCAGGGCTTGAACTGCCTCCTCCTGCTGCTGCAGTGTCCTGGGACTGGATGGAAATGACATGTGGCACTGCTGAGATAACATGTTAGCCCTTCCACCACGGAGTGGGATGTCTTTACTTAAGGCCATGTCATGGGATGGGGATAGCCCTCAGAAATAGCCAGTCCCTTCCTGGGACAGTGTCTAAAACATCTGCTCTGTGGAACAGGAGTGCATCCTCACCATGCTCAGCACGAGCCATACTTGGTACCACCTAGAGCATCAGCTTCACACAGGGAGGATGCTGGCACAACATCACAGCTGGGGGGGAGTCAGCAGAGCCCTGCCAGAATGTGCCTGTGGGTCCACACCTGAGCTAGAACTAATCTGCGGCACCTACCAAAGACCAACAGCACTGCCTGGTTCTGCCATTAACGGTCGGGGTCTGACAGGTAATTAATAACTATTATTAATTAGAGGCTCCTGAGGAGTTTATAGGGGAAACAGGTTAAGTATCTAGAATGGTAGACAACTGGTGAAGAAAAGAAGAAAACCTATTACTTTGATTGATGCGTTCACAGTCATTTTCCCTTTTGAGCACTCTGGCCATATTTGTTACTTCAGTGAAAACTGAGATACCACGGTGGAAAACATGATGTGAGATCATCAGCAGGTAGGTAACTCAATCAGGAATACAAAACATCTTGTTCTGACAGCTCAGTCATGGGACATATGAGTCATAATGTTTTAGTGCAATCTATCTCATTCAGTATGCTGCTCCTTTTTTATATTTATTACTCAGTGAAACAGAAACCATAACATAACTGCATTTTTGTGATTCATTTTCCCCTTTTAAAAGCTTGCAGAGTACCAGGGAATATTT